TTGATGTCAACCAACGTGATTTAGTAAGGGATTATTTGCCAGAAGTGTGGAACGAGGCTGATACAATTGGGACTATTGGGCCCGGAGCTAAAGGCCCAATGATTAAAGAGAAATTTTCATCTATCTTTTGGTAGTAATTAGCCATCTATAGATACCATTTGCTATATTACGGATTATAGATACCTTTTGTGCGGTTATAAGATGTATTTGATGTATTTAAGCTATTGTATTCATGAATACAGTAGCAAAAATAGGCGTGAATCAGGGAAGTCCAGCTAATCAGTTGTTGTATTCGACTGTATTCATGGAGTGAAACATGGGATTACAACTGGACAGATTATTGTATTCAACTGTATTCGACTGTATTCACAGCGTGAAATAGGGGATTACATTGTTTTTAAAACGGAAAGTGAATCAATTAGCATAATAGACTCCTAATATAACTCAACAAACTCAATTATAACACACAAATTTTGTATTTTCAGTTACAAAAAAGATTCTCAACCGAAAAATACCCCAAAAACATAGCAATCTTCAGAGAAATTATATAATACATCTGAATACATAAATTATATTAATTAAAAAAATATATGAATACATTCATGGCATATAGCGAGACAGTGAATAATGAAATACATATAATACAGCGGGATACATTGAAATACAATGAAAAAAAGACAGTGAATACAATGAAATACATGGAATACAACGAGATACATTGAATTAGAATGAAAAAAAGACAATGAATACAATGAAATACATGAAAATACATTGAAATATATTAACAAAAAATCAAGTTGCTTAGCCCCAAACTCCGTCGTCTTTGTTCAAGAACAAACCCTAATTTCCGGCGAATCCGCCGTTCACCCGAAGCCGGCAGTGAAAACACGACCCAATGGAGATTGTGGAGAGTGTGAGGATCTGTATGGCAAAGGCTCTTGATAAGGCTACTGCTGATGGAATCCACAGGGCTACCTCGTTTTTCAATGAAATCCACAGGGCTACCTTGTTTTTCCGTTTCTTGATTTTGAACCAAATTCGTTTGGAGAGATCACTGTTGCGAGAGATCAATTTCCAACTCTTTTTCGTTTCTTGATTTTGAACCAAATTCAATTTCGTTTTCCGATCAGAATCAATATCTGTTTTTTCCCTTTAATGCATACACATTTGTTGAGAGATGAGATAACCATGGAGAAATACTGGCTTGAGAGAGAGAGGGGGTGGAGAAAAATCTGAAAGAATGAGAGAGAAAAATAATACAAAGAGTATTTTATGGCTTAAGAATAGGAGGTAACCAATAAATAGATATTTGGCTATAAAAATCAAAAGGTATCTATAGAATATAATTTTTTAAAAGGGTATTTATTTAAAATAAATAAGGTATCAACCTTTGCTATAGGAGGTAAAAATTCCATGATTAAACAACCGAATAGAATGCTAGGACAGTATATTTGGGACGATCGGGGGGAGATACAGAGGAGCTGATTATTGTTGAGTAAAGTGTCTGAGTCCTCTCATATCCCCTATTCTGATTCTAGCTTCTCATCCCCTTCTTTGGTTTTCTTCTATGATACTTAGCCTCTGCATTTTGTATTTCCATTAATATTGCTCTACGTCTTTGAGTTGTAATCGTTAGTTACTACCATCAATATAATATGTATTTTGAAGTTATTATACTGGTGCTTTCATCCAGAGGTCTTCAATGGAGGACCAAATATTTCGAACTATAGATGATTTGGTTAGGGTTGTTGTCACGCCCTAAAACCATGTGACCGCACTCGGTACTCTACCCGATCCGAGTGAACCATCCCATAAATTAATACTCATCTATATGCCTAATTGGGGGATATAAACCAAAACATAAAAAAATTA